GGTCGGGTGAGGCCACCACTCATAAGTTCCACCTCATGGCATGGGAGAAGCTTTGCCAACCTAAGAAGTTGGGAGGGCTAGGGATCAAAAACTTGATAAAGGAAAACCTAGCTCTGCTAGGAAAGTGCTGGTGGACATTAGTCACCCTCAGGGAACAGCTCTGGATAGACTTCCTCAAGCATAAATATCGACTACCAAGTTCATCTTGGCCTCCTAGCTGCAGGCTTAATTACAGATCCTCTGGGACTTGGAGATCAATCTGCTCGATCTACCAGGCTTTTAAAACTCGCATCAGGTTCCACCTGAGAGCTAGTAACCGTGTCCTTTTTTGGCAAGATCTGTGGCTTTAGCATACTCCTCTTATGGATAGATTCCCAATTCTCTATTCTCTTGCCCAAAGTCAAGGAGCAACTATTGCAGAAGAGATGACTATGATAGGTTCCCGGCGATCCTGGAATCCTTGTCTTCAGAAGGTCTCTGAATGAATTAGAATTTCTTCTCTTTGCTGAACTTGCGGCTGAACTCCAAGTTATGTTCATCGCTCCCTTAGGGCCTGATCGTATTATTTGGGGCCCATCAGCTGGGACCTTCTCAGTCTCCTCTTTTTACCAGGATTTATCGCTGCCTCAAACTTTACCCGTCGCACCAACTTCTGTTGTAGTACAAGCCCCGAAAATTTAGGTCTTTATGTGGTTGGCCCTCTCCCAGAGGGTGCTCACAGTAGACCATCTTCAAATAACGGGCATTCCTCTTTCTAAACGGTGCGTATTGTGTTTGGCAGATGAGGAAACCAATGCCCATTTGTTCCTACATTGTCCCTACGCCTTCAATTTGTGGGGGGAACTTCTAAGCCTTTTCAATATCTAGTGGGTGCTTCCGATGTACCATCCATTTTCTCAGCTCTTCAACCTTTTCCTTGGCCTAAGGCTGGGATTTCGCTCAGGAAATCATCGGTGGCAGCATCGCTTTGGGCTATTTAGAGAGAATGTAACAATAGAATCTTTCGGGGGGAGTACTCTTTGTAGTACAAGACCTTCGCTAAGCTCAAATCTTCAACTGTGTTCTGGTCAACTAATCACCACAGATTCAAAGGGTTATCTACATCAGCCTTTTTTCAAGACTGGATTGCTGTCCTGCAGTACAGCCGCAAGCCCTTGCCTTGGGCGTCCTTTTGGAGACCTCCTCCACTCAGACATCTCAAGCTCAACTTCAACCTTCTATCTCTAAATCTATTGGTCTCGGTGACTCTATGGAGGCTGAGACGATAGCACTGTTGGAAGGGCTCAAGCTAGTCCAACCCCTCTCTTTTCGAGGGAGATACCAAGAATGTCATCTCTTGGGCTCAGGGGCCTTCTTCGTCCCCCCCACCTTGGTTCCTGGCTCAATATTTTAATGAGATTGACTACCTCTACAGGGATATGCACACCTCTTGGAGGCATATTTGGATCGAAGGAAACCAGGAAGCAGACACCCTAAGCAAAAGCAACGACGTCAATGGTCGGAAACTAGCAGAACTTTTAGAATGGACATCTTTTTTTGGGTTGCTGTCTTGATTATCACCTTCTAAAATAAGGATTTTTTATTTTGCCTTTATTTTTTCTTTTCTTTTTTCCTAATGCATCCGCCTGTGGATTGCCTAGCTCCTTGTACCACGATTCCTACAACTTAAGGTTAACTTTTTCGAAAAAAAAAGTACAAACTAAATAATTAGCAAGAGTTAACCAAACAAGTAAAAGAAAGTAAAACTGGAGATAAGCTTCGTTTATTTGGCAGTTTTGCACAGCATGCTCCACATGTAAGTGGGTTTAAACATCTATTCAATGAAAACATGATAGGCATAAAGAGTTAATTGGGACCTCATGACCCCTATATTACTTCTAATTATTTTTCATAAACAAAATATCATTAGCTCAAACCACTGGAACATTACATACATACACAAATTGAGGTGGGTAAGAAGACAGAGCTATCCCAGACAATACATTATTTAACAATAAGTGCAACTAGACAATGTATATGTCCCCTAAACGTAGTCTGTCCATAATCCAATGGAACTTAGATACATACACAGGTTGAGGTGGGTAAGAAGACAGAACTATCCCAGATAATACATTATTTAACAATGAGTGTAAATAGACCATGTATATGTCCAATAAACGTCGTTTGTCCATAATCCAAATGAGTACAAAGTACAAATACAGTTACTTGTCCATGCTTTAGACAAGTTTCAAAAATGTAATACTGTAGCAACACATGCCGCAAAAAGACGATTCCATAATCAATGTTCCTAAGTAGGAAGTATGCTCACAAGTTTCTCCATGTGCAGATCTCATCTATTGCAATATGTGTTTCAGGATTAAAGCACATAGAGGTACATTGTCACATTATTTCAGAAAGGGGATTGATAGAATTGTGAGGACTCCTTATACAAAAAGGTATGACTCGTTGACAGAATTGTTGAACATGTGCTTTTCAAAGGCATATGATTTGTTGACAGAGGTGTTCAACAGGTAAAATCCAAATTGATGGGGATTGGTGATGATCTGTCATTTTAGTAGTAGCACTTTATTATGATCTGTCATTTTAGTAGTAGCACTTTATTTTATAAAAACCTTTCTTAAATAGTATCTCTATGATATATCAGAAACTGCTTCTTAAAGTTAATGAGCCCATAAGTAATGAATATCATTCTATTGTTAGTATAACTTTTATAGTAATCTAAAAAAATGAGATTCTGACCTATGCCAACTGAAATTGTATTGGGAGGCTAGAATCAAGTACAGAATAAGGATTGGTAGATACAACGCTAGAGAAATGATGTGTGCCTAATTATCACTTTAGACAAAGCTATGATGTCTTTATACCAAGAAGATCAATCCCATTAAACAAAGATCACTTGTCCTGACCATGTTTTAGAGCAAGCAATACATGATGAAACCAACCTCTCCAGAAAAAATGTTTCTAGAATCTCACAAATACAACATTTGATCCACTCCCCTTCTATTTTTTTTAACATTGAGATAGGAAACCGTTACATGAAGTTGCTATGCAAAAAGCAGACAAACAGAGATGTAAAGAGTGGGGGAGATGAGAAAGAAAACATAAGTATCAAACTGCTGGGGGGCCTATCAAACAAAAAAGGTCACTCCTAGTATAACCATCATATGCTAATTAATCCACTCTGTCATTCACCATTCATGGTACATACTAAAAAGCGACCGGCTTCTCTTGACAAAGATCATAGAATCTCCTCTATAGTGTCTGCTAGCTTTGAAGGAGGGGCGCCATCCCTCCAGCCCAACAAATAAAAATTCGGGAATTAACTTCTGTTGGTGAATGATTTAAAGAAAAGACGCAACTCTGTTAGCATGGCCAAAACTTATGCTCTATTGACACCTCCAATCCCCGATAGACTTGCATAAGCAATACAATTAAATTCCACCTGATCTCTGATGACACCCCAAAAACCAGAGGGACAAGGATTACCAAAAGAACTCAGATGAAAGTTGAGTTTAAGTACACCAAGAGGGATGCCACCCAAAAGCATGAATGGGGTTGTCCGGCACACTCGACCTTTTGTCTTTTTCTCATCAAGTCCATCAGCAAATCTCTAAATTCCTTTTTAATAAGGGCAAAAAGATCATATCTCTTGATTGATTTCTTGCAGCACCCTGTCTAGAGAAATTCCCCTCAAATATCTGTTTGTTCGATCTCTCTCAAAAAAAACATCTCCCTGTTCGGCTCTAAGAGTAACCCCCATAAATGGTAACTTTTTTTCTCACTCCCTTGAGGCTATAAATTTTTCTTTTCCTAAAAAAAGTGTACATGCTTTCTAACCACAGTCCAGTTTTACCCTCACTCATGACAAGCCATTTTGGGAGACAAAGGTCCACATCAAAAATATGGAAGGCAATGATTTCACACCTACATTCATAAGGATTCAACCAATAGGTCTTGACATAGTTGTTGGAGGCAGAGGTGGGTTCGCGAGCGGGATCGGTTTGCGGAACACAGAACCACCATAATAGTGGAAGCTCCCTCAGGTTAGGATCAATGTTTGTACATTCAACAAGTTAAGGACGTAGATCCTAGGATACCTCGGAGCAAGATCGCATGTCATTGGGATCGAGGTTTTGACTTGAAGGGATCTAAGCTCAACTATACAAAAACATGATCATTTAACAATATATGATACAATTCGGATCAGGCCAATATCTGCTCGATCCATCATCATAAATCTTAGCCTATTACCAATGCCATAGTTATTGGACTTCAATTACTACAATAATACAGTTCAATAACATCATACATTTATTAGACTGTAGTTTTTTAATACCATAATTCCAGCATACCACGATATGATGTGCACCACAAAATTGACATATTCTACATAAATAGATCTATAATACCAAGGAGAGGAGAAGTAGTTCAAATTAAAAGTATCGCTCCTCTCCTTGGAAGTATCCCACAAGCATGTAAACCGAGATCCCATTTTATAAGGAGCGAGATCCCTATTTCTCTAAACCCAGCTCCCTCTAAGATCCCTTTGAGGAACTGTGGGAGAGAGTTCCTAAGGTGGGACTATGGCCTTACCCCCAAGGTTCCCTCAACTATGAGTCGTGATCTAAATGGGGTTAAACTATGGGCAGCTGATACATGCTCAGTAAAAGTTTGGCAGCCACTAGAGCTTCCCATACAGTGAATGCTGGCTTGGATGTGCAGAATTGTTACGGGTATTGCTAAATTGCCCAACATTTGAGTCCCCACATTGGAAAACTACAAGAGCTTTGCTTTACCAGGTTCAGTGCCATACAGTAGCTAAAGTTACAGCAGCACAAAATACAACAACAGCTAAAACAATGAATAAATTGTTAGTTTTCACCTTCAATATATTACACAAGAAATCAGATCTCTGGATCATCACAACTTGCAACTGAAGAGTCACATATATTAAGTGTATACCATATATCCAATTGAACCAACAAAGTTAGGTGGTGTACCTTTTCCCTTTGGCATTGTCAGTGCCCCCCTTGCCTTTCGTGTCCTTCACTTTGCTCTCACCTTTTTGTTTCTTGAGTGTTAGAGATCTGATCAATATGTTTGTCTGGTTCGTCTTTATCAATTGCTCCTCTGGAAAAAGAACTCAACATGTAATATTTTCACATTAACAATAACAATACGTATCCATTCTAAACGCAAGCCCATAATTAGATTTAAAAGTACCAGACAAGACAAAAAAAGAATTCCAAGTGGAAAGAAGAGCAATAAAAAAAATCATTAAAATGTGATACAAAAACACACACCCAACAATTCTAGGCTCCAAACGAGCCAGTTGTGTTTCACCCAACATCACCAAGACCGCATTGGACTAGACGTGCCTATTTGGAATCTGATGGAGGGCAAATTATCCTTATTTTTTATTTTTATTTAATTTCCAAAGATGTATATTATAGTTTTAGTTTTAGGATTTATTTCTAGGGTTTTTTAGTTTTTTTAGGAATTCTATAGTTTTATATATATTTTATTTATTCCATGAGAACTATTTACAAGTACTGTTCACGGGGTACTATTCACAAGGGTAGAATTGTCATTACGAGTTTTAAGTTACGATAGAATATATGGGTCAATGTATTTTTGTTTGGACACTTTTTGTACTTGGAACAGTAAATTATAAGACATAAGAGGTGTGTGGGGCCTTGACAGGGTCATATTCCACATGACTTTTAGAAATTGAAAAAAAAAAAAAAGCTTAGGCTTTTGGGACCCTAACTTGGGGTATGGAGAATAAACCTTAGCTTTCTAGTGCTTATATTTGGCTTTGTTTCTTGCTGATTTTACTGTTCCCTCAAATTCTCCTGCATCAAATTGGTATCAAAGCCCGACAATCAGTAAGTGTGGTACTATAGCAAAAACTGTAGCATAGCACTGTAGCAAATTATTATAGTACGATACTGTAGCGTCGATTTTTGTGCCCTAAATCAACAACAAATCCTAAATCATATTGATTTCAGTAGGTTTTTGTTGATCAGCTACCTAAGGTTGTGATTTCGGCGATCCCATGGCAGCAAGAAGGGCCTAGACAAGGGAGGGTTTCGTAGATCCGCTCTATGATCCCAGATATTAGAGAATTGAGGAACTTGAAAGGCAAGTTCAGTAGCTGATGCAGCAGTTCGCGAGTCTCAATGATGGGCAAGACAATGATCTTTATCCCCAAGAGGATCTCGAGTACAAGCCTTTTCACTTTCGCGCTCCGTGTGTGGAATCGAGTGATGAGGATAGCAACCAAAGACCTAGACGTGGGGTGCATCACTCTTGCGTTTTCGATTTGAATGACAAGATTTTTTATTTTGACACAGATTGCATGAAAAGTCAACAACTAATAGATTGGGATTCACCACCAATCTTCGATTTATACTCAGATGAACAACAAGATTTCTTAGAAGGTCCAATCTATGAAAAAGATTAAGATGATTGTGAAGATATTTTGAAAGAGGGTGAAGAATATGGAGAGAAGGCAACAGGAGCACTAATCAAAATCATGGCCTTTGAAGATCTTATCACTTTTGAAGAGGTGGAGCGGTCAACAAATTTAGAGCATTGGAATCAAAGTATCGCAGTGGAAGTGTGGTCGACTCAACCACAAATAATGTCCCTGATTTCATAAAGTGATGAAATAGATGTCGAGAAAACCTCTAAAGGCCAAAAAATTGAGTTTGGAGTATCCTACATGATTTCCAATGGGAGTTCACAAATAGCCAAATTTAATAAATTTGCATCGACTCCTTAATATGCATATCGGATCCGTTTCTTAAGGAATTCTTTTTACCACAAATAATATTTAATACAACAAAAAAAAAGGGTTGAAGAAGGTGGTTTTGATGTTGAATTCATCTTAGCACACTTCCAAACTCAAGGACAAGTTTTCTCCAACCAGGGGAGAATGATGCAGAGCAAATTATCCTTATTTTTTATTTTTTATTTTTATTCAATTTCAAAGGATGTATATTATAGTTTTAGTTTTAAGGCTTATTTCTAAGGGTTTTAGTTATTTCAAGAATTATAGGATTTTATATTTTTTATTTATTTCATGAGTAATATTCATAGGTGCTATTCACCAGTATTGCTCACGAGTAATGTTAACAAGGGTAAAACTGTCATAACAAATTATAAGTTACGTTGGTATATATGGGTCAATGCATTATTTGTTTAGACACTTTTTGTACTTGGAACACTAAATTAAGAGGTGTGTGGGGCATTGAGGGGGTCATATTTCACATGACTTTTAGAAATTGAGAAAAAAAAATCTTAGGTTCTTAGAACCCTAGCTTGGGGTATGGAGAATAAACCCTAGGTTTCTTCGAATGGTGCTTGGGTTTGGCTTTGTTTCTTGATGATTTTATTGTCCCCTCAAATTCTCATGTATCTGACTCGAAACCCTGGAAGCGATGCCCGTACCTATTGGTCGAGAGTATCGTATCAAGGGATCTATCAAACCGGCATAGAATAGGACAATATGGGATTAATGCCTAGACCAGCAGGCTCAATAGGTCCAAACTGAAAAAGCCAGTCCCAATGAAGGTAAAAAATGACCCAATGAAGGTAAAAAATGACAGATAAGGATAGTTTGTTGGTAAAAAATGACAAATAAGACTACTTTTTTGGTCAAAAATGACAGATAAGAATACTCAACAAGTGGGCATCACTCTCTTCATCTTCAAAACACATCACGCACCTATTTGGGATGGGCAGACCCCTTGTTTGTAGCTGGTCAACAGTAAGGACCTCTTCAGAGGGGCCTACCAGTTGAACACTTGGATTCTTAGTAGGGCAATGGAGGACCAAGCTTGGACTGCAATGGAAGTGGGCGCTAGGGGCAAAGTAGGCGGTTGAATAAGTGTATGGTCAAAGGATGAGACCGTGAAGACCCCAAAAGGGCTTGGGGTCCAGATAATACCGTCAGTACCCTACTGAGAAAGGAAAGTATAATGGAGGGTGGAAGCCGGGCTAGCAAATTCTAGTATTTCAAGGTCATTGGGAGCTCTTCTAAAAGTTGGGTTCCAGGTTCTAGAAGGCCCTGATATAATCATTACATCAGCCACAAAAAGCCACTTGGTCACGGGCCAGGCTAGAAAGGGAAGGGTAAAGATCTTTCAAAGGGGTATGGCCAATCCAAAGGTCGGACCAAAACTTAATTCTAGCCCACCGTTAGGATGGACTCAAATGAGGTTTTTGAAGAGGTTGTGGGATGAGAAAATGGATTTCCACACCCCCAACGATCTGTTGTTGGCCCTGCAATCAGGCAGGCGATATTTGTGCCGAAGGGTCTACATCCAAAGTTGATCTCCTTGTGTAGCAAGGCGCCACCACCATTTACCAAGCATGGCTACATTATGTTTCCTTAGGTTCTGGATGCCGAGTCCACCTAAGCGCTTTTGCGAGCATAGTTTGTCCCACGAGACAAGATGAAACTTGAGAGTTGAAGAGTCACCCGACCAAATAAATCTTTGCATGAGGTTGCTCAAGGTGAAGGGTCCCAGCAGCCAGCATGTGAAAAAGCGACATTTGGTACACCAAAACGTTTGCAAAGGTAGCCTTAATGAGAATAAGCCTACCTGCAGGGGATAAGAAGCGGCTTTCCAGCCAGCTAGCCTACAGTCTACCTTATCAATGATGTGGGACTACAATCTTTTCTTCGGCTTGCCAATGCAAAGACGCAGGCCTAAATAACTTGACGGCAGGGATTCTGCCTGGCAACCCCAACTATTTGTGAACTCCTGAGTAGCTTGGGGATCCAAAGCTACACCAATCAATTTGGATTTTTCAAGGTTAACGTTGAAACCCATGGCAAACTCGCAGCGCTTAAGAAAGATGAGGAGGTTGTCTACTTCCTGCCGACTGGCCCCACAAACTATGAGAGTATCATTGGCATATTGAAGGAGAGTGATTGTCGAGCCACAAGGACCGCTTTTAAAGCCATGTAGACGGCCGGAGTTGAATATATGCGAAGAGTTCATCAAGTTCCTCTTGCATAATGGAATACCTCTTATCACGACCCCGACCCCGACCCCTACCGTACTCGCCGGGCCTGTCGGAGGACAATAGGGTGTGGGATCGCAACCACAAGTAGCGAAGGCCACTCAGGTGGGAGTGCGCTCAACGCTTTAAAAAGAAGGAATCAAAGTCAACCACATAACCACAAAAGGCCGGACAAACAAGTCTCAAACTACATATAATAGCTCCAAAATATTACAAAAGAGTCCAAGGCACTAAAGCCCAACAACAAAACATAGTTCCAATACAAAGTGAACTATATCGCCAAACTGTTTGATGTTCTTAAAGGAAGTTCTTGTTTTCACATAAGAAAATCCAGGGTGACACCCTCATAGAAAAACGGTCATAACTTTCAAATCACAAGGAATTTCATCATGATTCCAAAACCATTTTCAAAATAGATTCGTCTATCTATCATTTAGAAGTGGTTTGATCTCATTCTAATATGTTTTGGTCAGTAAAATGCTCCACACAAAAACACATTAAATCCCTGAAATTTTATTTCATAAATCTAGCATGCTTCCGTAAATGGTTAATAACTACCAAATCAAATGAGATATCAACAAGGGGTCTTTTCCATGATAAAATAGATTTAATGGGCTACTTTCCCACCAAATTTCATGATCTAAGGAGATATTTAAGATACTCAAATGATCTCTCAAACAGATGCCACATTTCTGGAAATCAGAACACATTTTACAGGAATTTCAATAGCATGCACCCGCACTCACATTCACAACCATATTCATAATTGAGTTTCATACTTTGATTAGGTAAGGAAACATGCATTAACATAAGCAAGAAGACATAACTAGATCCAATTACCTGCACCAATAGAAACTCCAAAGGGTTCCATCCGCTTCACCTCAAATGCCAACAAGGATTGGGTTCAAGCTCAAGGAATAAGGCTTGGAGAGGTTTCAAAGGCTCAAGGGAGGAGAAGGAGAACGTGGGTGGAAGAGGGCAGTGAGGAGAGAGAGAGAAAATGTGATGGGTAAGAAGGGGTTATAAATAAGCATGGATGGTGGCAACATGCAATTGCCACATGGCACACAAGTGGGCATGGATGAGGAGAGAGA